TTGGAGCGAAATATATACATTCCCTTACCTCTCTCGTTACCAAATAGAACATAATTGTTCTCGCGATAATCGCGATTGTTCTTAAGTACCGACTAGCCTACGCGACGTACTTCCCGTGTACTCGACAACTCCACGCCTCGTAAGTCATTCTCACGACTCGTCTCCGACACTCCTTCTGCCACTGTCAATCTCGTCATGCATCGGGATCTCTGGTGGCCCTCGGGCTGGTGAGGCATCTGGGGCAACACGAGGGTCCGTCGACCTTAGTCGTCCTGGGTGCCAATCCGTGCACACGACCGGGGGATGGGCCCTGCAGTCGGAATCATTGCAAGAGCGTGCCTGCCTGCCCCTCTAGCACTTGGTGGCTATGTGGTTATGTTTGCATAGAGCCGGGGTATGGAGCATGCGCGTGATTCCGACTGTTAGGCCTCGCATAGGACCCTCGGATTGACTCTGGGTGTTTCACTGGTTCGTTGGCTGCCTTAGATCATCGAGTAAGCCATGGCGAGGTCGACAGTGGCAGGGTGGGTAAGGCCCGATCTGGAGGGTGCTGAGGTTGGAGTTGTCTTGTACACGGAAGTGCGTCGCGTAGGCTAGTCGGTCTTTCGAATAATCGCGAACCGAAACCCTTTTGTAAGACACGAAATATAATAAAGTGTCAGTAGATTCGCTTTAACTTCTTTCGTTCCAAGTTAGGTTAGGGTACCTTTGATACGGATAGCGCCAGCAGGTTGCGCCACTAGGGCGCATGTCGGGTCTCGATGCGTAGCCACCTCCACGTGGTGAGACCTGGTAATTGGTATCGTTTCCCAAAGAATCATGTTTAAGAGCGATACCAAGCTAAGAGCTACGCACAAAGTTTAAGATATTTCCTATCTCTTACAAATTTTCAATGATCCCTATGAACTTTGTAAATAAAGAGTGGACAATATCTGATGAAGTTATACGTAAATAGTCTTTGGCTAGCCACTAACCTCTGTCCACACTACCAACACTCCACTCCCTTAATAATAATTTCTTCTCAGGTCTCATTTATTTTTGTTTTAGTTTTAGAGATTTTAATTATTTTTCATGTCAGCAATGATACCAATTTTTGTGTAAACCGAGATACGTCTTCATATTTTAATCAACCTTGCAAAATTCGCCAATGTGCGCAAGCGCAGCCAAGGGCTCCGTGTAATTATCGTCGCTGGAAAGTTCGCGCGACGCCTCGGGAGCTTTATGAACGGACTGCCGGTGTTTCCACGCTCATTAAATGCCGCCTTAATTTCGTTGGCCACGGGACGACGGTAGGTGAGGCGAAATTATCTTCGGACAGCCGCGTGTATCTGCAGGCGATGCGGCTCTAATTAAATCCGTCGCGGATGGTGTCCCGCGTGCGTGCCCGTGACGCAGGGTACAACCGTGGACAACGAGATCGAAGCGGTGAAGAAAAGAGAGGGAAAAATTTGGGACGGTCCATTGTGTTGCCGGTAACGCGTGTCCCGGCGACGAGACTGCGGATCGGACGTTTTGTTCGCCTGGAAGCGCGGAGGAGCGAGGAAATTGCTTTGGATATGGCTAATAGCCTCGTGTCAGGGGAATCGTACGGTTGATTCCGAGCGGAAGGTGCCTGCGCCTTTAATCGACTGGCAAAACGACTGCAGATGTGACGGAATCTATTGGAACACTTCTTCCTTTTCAGGTACTTAAAATCCATTTATACACCATTTGTATCCTATTACTATATATTTTCTATTTATTTCTATTACACGCACGAACTAATATATTTTCTGTTCGCGCGAATTATATCTACGTTCGGCCCGCGAAAAAAGTGAAAGTAACGGTGGTGGGGAGCGTGGCCTTGAACGATGGACCAATACGAAAATAATAGAACGACCGCTAACCGCGCGAATACAAGACAGGACAGTGGTCGTCGAATTTAAAACAGGACTATGACCACGAACTACGAATAACGCTATAGAGGGGTAGTACGCAGCACGAAAATAATAATCGAACGATCGTCAGGCACACGAGCAAAAGAGGAGGCAATGGTCGTTCGAGTGGCGAGCTCGGAGGCTAATTAATAGTTCCGGGAACGGGCAAGAGGTGAGGAGAAAGGATCGCAGGATTGCAAATGGAGGGAGAAGGGGGAAGAGGAGCGGAGGACGGAATGCGGGACATGTGGCGCGCATCCGCGTGCTTCTGGCCTGCGAACAGGGTGCGATTTTCTGGCGAATGCGGGAATAGGTGTTAGAGGCCAGAGCCGTACCATTACAAAACTGCGCCCGCCCCATATCCCTGAAATTACACTGAAATTCCACCGAAACGCATCTTTCCCTCCCGCTTCTGAATCCTGACATTAAATAATACGAAATACCATCAACTATTGTAAAATATTTTCTATCTACGCCAAAGGCGAATCTACGCTATTGTGCGAGAAATAAAAATATTTTTGCACTTCGAGGTGTCGAATAATTCAATAAAATGAAACAGAATCATGGTACCGATGGTGGGAGAAAAAAATGTGGTATAATTAGGGGTTCGAGTGCCTTCGGGGCTCGGCTACTTGGTCGATCCTGAGCAAGAGTAATCGGTTTCGAAGAGACGCGCGAAGAATTCATCGTTTAGATGCCTCGCGGTCCTATGACCGTGCATGGGTGTGCGCTTTGTTTGCTCGGGTTTTTGCCGTGATAATAGGAAAACCGCAGAGAGAAGCTGTTCGCGCGGAACCAGCGGTCTTCCCTCGGGAACCAGCCGCGCAGGCTGCGGTCCTGACCTTCTAACACGAGATCAAGGCCGACACTCAAGGTGCACCTTGCAGTCGCTCGACGATTAATACCATCTTATCTAGAACTCCCGAAGGACTGTTATTTGCCGTCACGATTTAATGCAGCGTACTTCGAATAGTGATAATAGACATTTACGCGCGACAGCTTCTCGGATGAGCAAAGTCTAGAAACTTTTTTTTCGAGGTTAACTTTCTTCTTCAGAACAGGTAATCGCTATAGGGTATCGACAACAGAGAAGATAAATATATATCACCGTTGCAGAATTGTCAACTTAATTTATTTTAATTTATTGAACCGATCGCGACATCCCTGGTTTAGGTTAGGTTAGGTTCTACGGAATGTCAAAAATACGCGAATTTTACCGAGTCCTGTGTACATCGTTATCAAGCATTAAATATGTACACACAGTAAACACGTCTTCTATGAACAGACAAAATTGGACTTGAAAATCAAACTTCGATAATTATGTATCACGATCTTGAAAATATTCACTATCGCAATAATTGAGCAAAAAGTTACCGCGTAAATGCCACGCGATACACTAGGGTCTGGGGAATCTAGTTTCAAACTAGCTTCCGAAGAGTTTTAATATTGGCGACAAACGAAAGCCCAAAACTAGATTTATAAACAGGACTTACACGTCAGTCTTCCATATCCAGAAGCCTACCGTTCGTCACAATGATGATCGATGATAATCCAAACAATGGCTGGTAGCGGATGATCGTCCCGCGCAGAATTCGACGGACAGCTTTTAATGAAACGTCTCGTGTTTCACTGAAGTCACTATCCCTTCTCTCTCGCCGTCCCGTGAAATGATTAATACGGCCACTAGAGGGCCGCGGGTTCGCTGCTTTCCCGCTGCGACCACCTACGGCTCCTCTTTTTTCTCTGCCCCTGCGTCGCGGAAGGCCACTCCATCTTCTTTTTCGACGAGCCACAGGCCTCGCGTTTCCACCCTTCCGCGCTGCGCTTCCGGCGAATTTCTACTGTTGCGATAACTGCCTGCTTTTCGCTTGGAAATCGCACCGTATATCAATTTTGGTAAGTTGATTAAAGTGAGCGTGCAAGATCGTAGTTCGGTGAAACGTAGTGCTGATTCGCAAAGAGAGCTGTTTTTCGAGGTTAGGAATTCGTGTCGTTGAAATAATTTCGAAGAATTAACCAATAGATAAATGACAGATATTCGTTGAATGGCGACTAGATTTGCAAAGGATTAAAAGTTGTAGCGAAATATTAGGTTAGGTATAATAAAATTTCTCAGTGCGTAGCTTCTACACCTCTGTATTATTAATTTTACTGTAGTCTAACTAATTGCAGTACCTGTAGCTTTTTACACACGCTGTGGCTATTATCAAGCAATGGCCTCTAATTAACCTCACTTTTTATCACCAACACAGTCTTGTCTTCAAATTATTACTCTCGTCTTTAAGAATGTTTTAATATAAATATATCATGGAATTTTATATCTCCGTGCAGGTAAATTTTTTAAATTATTGTTAATATGAAACTAATATCACCGATAATAAGTTGTCCCAAAGATATTCACAAAACGAAAACGAATTCAAGGATCGATAAATTACTGAATATTATTATATTATAGGAAGGTAACTGTTAGTGGAATCGGAAGCAATCGGAAGCAATCGGAAGCGATCGGAAACTATCGGAAATGATCGGAAAATTTCGGCAACGTATTCGGCAGCGGGAGCTGGCTATATAAAGACCACGGCATCGCAGCATATGTTGATTTGTTAATTTGACTTCGAATGGGACACATCGGAATTTCGATCGGGATGAGTTGCAGATACGAATGGACTATTCCAATCTGCTGCTATAATATAATAACAATCTTTTAATCTTGCTCTAAATCTATTATCAATCCAAATTTTTAATCTTGCAGTTTGATACATCAAGAGAAAATCAATGATTTCAAAGCCCGAAATTCAAGATTTAGGTTATGTTCATAGAAATATAATAAACACTTCTGTGTCGAGAAAATCGGAATCGAAGTTTTAATCGAGGAATCATTTAGAAACGCTATTCAGAAGATTCTTCCTATTTCGAGTAAGTCGCATGTTCGTTAAACCAGATTCGATCCAAGCATTGTAGAAACTCGACCGACCAGGCAATCAATTTTTATTGCGCTTTGTGCGCTCAATAAACACGTCCAGATTTATTTATCTCAGCGGCTGGTTCACTGACCCTATGATTATGCTGTATAATACAGGAAAAAAGGTCGAAATGCGCTCGGGAATAGGATGTAACTACGCCCAAACTGCTCTTAATTGACCACGTGCTTGGATACAGGTGAAGAAAAAAGAAGAATGAGCTATTCGATGCTAAAACCTTCGCTTTTAAACCCAAACTACTTTCATCTTATCTCCTTTCTAAATTCTCGATTGGAAATAAATTACAGATATTACATCATTACAGATATTACATCAACGTTACCGGAATGGAAGCGAGGCTAAAAGGATAAATTTCTGCAAAATTAGATCAAAAACGAGACAAACTTGTCTGCAGATAGCGTTGTTAGTAATTAAGGAAGGACGTGCCTAAACAGCATAAACAGGGTGCCCCACGTAACACTATTGTACAGTTTCCAATTGCCAAACTCCAACCTAACTGCAACAACCATCTGGTATATTGTAAAATAAGATCTGTTCTGCATTCATTTTCATTTAACTTCAAGAAATTTCATTACTTTCGCACCACCCTGTATAATATAAAACAAAAATTACGTTGCATTCTTTTTCAGATAGCTGCAACAAATTTAATTGCTTTCGAACCACCCGGTATAATACAAAATAAAAATTACCGTGCATTCCGGTTCATCTAATCTGAATGAAAGTCATTACTTGCGAACCACCCGGTATAAATGGCACGACGAGCCCCCGCTTCTCGATCCGAGATGCTTTATTTTCACCGTCCGGCGATCGGAAGGCGTTCTCCGTCATTTTATTCTCCGTTCATTCCCGCCCTGCCCCCGCTACGATCACAAAGGAACGATCCGTTGGTTCGTTTTAAAAAAAAGTATGTATCTTGTCACGACCGGTTGATTAATTAATACGCGACCGATTACCGATTCGACGTGCTATTAGCAGTAAATCCCGCGTCAGTTGCCGCGTATCGAGGCCCGGCTGATATACGACCAGGCTCTCGTTTAAACGCTCGAAAGAGGGCCGAGGGAGAAGAGGAAGAGGGCGAACGGAAATCCGAACTAGTCGACACCCTACGGAGTTACGACACAACGAGCACCCGTAAACGTCTACCTGTTAATTAGCCCGGGGATCGTCCACCGATCTCCGGAGATCCGTGTTCCGATTTTCGACCCAAGAATACCATCTCTCCTCTTCGGAGAATTTATCGCGGACGCTCTTAACGAGCTCGTCACGTGGTCAGATGATTTGGTAAGATGGAATAAGAGAATAATTAATAAAATTTATTTTTTTTTTTTTTTAATTTCAAAATTCGGTGGTTTTCGGGAAAGGAAAACCAACCGAGACTCTAATGGCCGTTTCTTAATTATTATTCTTAATTTATTATCCAAAAGAAGCCATTCTAAACATTTTAAAAATTATACTATTTTTATCTTTACCTTTTCTCCAAATTTTCTTCTCATGTATACATTCATCCTCCATTCTTGTTATATTTTTGTATACTAAACGGTTCACGCCCGAATATGTTAATAATAATGCCATTAAACACATTCCGCTTAACCCAAACCCGATTCGATTATCCCGCGCGAGCGACCTAACCTCAAAACGCCGAAATCGACTAACAAACCGGGACGAATCTCGTAACGCGCTTCCAATCCGTTCATTCGGCCGAAACGGATCGAATCCGACGAAATGCCCACACCCGAACCTTTCTACCCACGAAAAACTGCGTTCTCCTATACCTCCGGTTATAAAACGAGCTACCGAGCCCGTGCGAGCCTCGAACCGTAACCGTAAGACACCACTCGACTTCAAACTCTCCCCTCCGCCGCCTGACGTCCAGCCAGACCAATCTAATCGTCGATCGGTTGGTTTACATTCTTTCGCCGCCGGTGTAATTACGGCTGCATCGGCACCGGGATATTGCGGCCACCACGCCCCCGGTGAAAGGGTGATCGAAACAGAACGAGCGGCCAGGCGGCGCTGTGGTGCCGACAGAGACAGACGGTCGGTGAACAGCGAGTGCACGGAGTCCGTACGCGGCCACCGGTGATTTTAGCTGGTAGGTAGACCGATCCAGCCTCGGGATAACCTGCCGATGAACCGTAAACCAGGAACTTATTACCGTAAGCCGTGTACCTCGCGCTCCAGCTCGCGGGTGCTTTATTATTGCCACGTTGCGCGTGTTTCTGGGATACCAAACGACACGCCGATGAGCTGACCGGTGGCTCCTCTACGGTTTCTAATTGCGAACGAGTGCGCAAGGGAGAGGGGAGAGTTTCGAGTCGGAGAGTTGCTTCGCTGATCGCTGTTTCGCGCGGGAATCGGGGTTGAGGTTAGCTTCAAATTTTCAAGCAGCTCGCAGATTAACACCGGGATTGAAGAATCGGGCTTTTCGGCTATTTTATTTTTGCTGTTTCGCGAGGGTGTGGGCTAGGTTAGGTTATTTTTATATTTTTCAGATGGTTGGTATCCAAAATATGAGATGACCGGTTTCCAGGAACGTGGTGAAATATCACAAGACGATAGGGAATCGAAGGTTCCGCGGAGCGTTCAGGTATTTATCGCGTTGCATTGTGGAGTACGCGTTTTCTTGCGACGAGGTTCTTGCCAGACGTTATTATCCATATCGCTGGAATCGTTGGTTTTGCCCGTTGGATTACCCGTGTCCCGGCGAAGCAATGCGAGCCGGGAATTATACCGGTGCATTAGCTGCAAGCGGGTTTATTGCTCTCGGGTAACGACCCGACTGCAGCTACGACTAATAATTACGTTCCTATATTTCTTTCCGCGATTCTACGCGTCCCATTGTTGCTCCCGGGGGCCAATTTTCCTCGGAGTGCCTCGCGAGAACGTTCTTGCGTCCGGGAGTTGGCCTGGGCAATTTCCAGTTTCACAGTTTCGATATGTCGGTGTACTAGGCCTCGTATTTCCCGCCGATTGGTTCTTACGAGACGCGTGATCGGGCAGTGATTACCAGGGAACTTTAAAAATGGCACCGGATGACGGAAAGAAAACGGTGAGCGCGGTTGAAATCGGTGAAGAGGCTCTGATTTGATGGTACAGGGTGTCCCAAGATTCACGCAAGAGAATAAAGTAATTTTGAGAGAAAACACGGGTTTTTAATAACCCTGAACTGTCAACTGTCACTCTGTCTTTTGTCTTTCGTTGGTAACATTTTATCGCATAAATGGCGCGAAATTCAAATCTTGCGTGAATAACTCAGTGAATATTCAAGTGAAAAAATATTCTTTATTTTCAATTTATTTTTTCACGCAGAATCACCCCCTCTCCTCGATTTTACTCACGTTGCTGGGACACCCTGTATTTGATCTCATTCTCACATATTTCGACTCATTTTTGACAACTTTCCCATCTCGACAAAGTGATAAAGGCACTTTTTGTTCCTTGGGGGTACTCTCAAAGGTTCCAAAAGAATTTCCAAAAAGAATGTTCATTTCCATCAAGAATGGCCCTTTTTTAACATACTTCTTTAAACACTGAAATCGCGGTGATTATCGAGCCACCGTTATCCAACCACTCGGTTCCCGGTTATCAACCAATCCCTGTCCCGAATTGTTGCAATTGACCCGATTCCCGTTGTGCCTAAAATCCCCGGACACTCGTCGCGGCCCAGCGACTAAAATAAATAACGGAATTTTCAAATGGGTCAGGGAAGGCTCGGATGCAGACCCGTCTCCACCCTCGAGATGAGCGCTCATTCACTCGGACCCCGCTGGAAGCTCTTTAGGATGCACGTGCACAGCCTCTAGGTCTGCGAGCCGGTCAGCAGAGGCTCGGAGGAAGATGAGAGGGTGGGAGAAGCATGGTCGGACGAGAGGTCGGTTAGAGGAGGGGAGAGAGAAGGGTAGGCCGAGTATTTCTCGGGCAAATATAATATACGAGTACGCGAAGCCCCCGGGGAGTAACGTCCACCATACCGAGACCATAATCTCGGCTGGAAGATGGTACCACACCCATGGGGGGTCGGCGGATAACCGCACGGAGCGCGTCGTATTCGCGCAGAAACCAGCGCGACCTAGCCGCAGTCCGCGCAGACCACCTTTCACTTGGCTGCTGCGCGCGCATCACGCGGATGAATCCCCGGGAAATACGGTGCGCGGTTATTCCCGAGTTTAAGGCTCGTTAGGGACCGCCTTCGACCGCGGTCTTTGCTACCACGGACTTTCCTGGACAACGGTATTGGCAGGGGTCGGTATTTATAGTCTACGTGTGCGGGTTTACGTGGAAGCCTCGAGTTTTCGATTTCAAGAGTTAGAATCACGTTTTGGTAATTCGGAATTCTTTTTTGAACGTGATAGCTCGAGATTTGGGGTATTTTAGGGTACATTTCTCGTTGATGCTACTAGTGGGAAATATTACGGAATAGCATTAATAATAGGGATTTAAAATTCGGAAGTTCTAGTTCCTTGTGGTCGAAAACTTTCTCAAATGTCTCTAGGCGAATTTTTAGATTACTTTTATCGACTTTGGAGATTAAAACAAGATAATGGCAGTTGAAAACAATTTTTTCCGTGATAGAGGAGTTGTAGTATTGCAAAATTGAAGATAAAAATTCTAGGGAATTTTAGTATTGGAAATTACCGATACCGTCAAACTACATTATTTCCAAATTTCAAATAGCTACTTATAAGTTCTAATATTTAAAAATTCGATCACATCGTGGTCTCCGTAAAATCACCAAAACCACCCGCTACGAATATATTCCTAGAAAATTCCCGCCAAAATTCAAACATGATCCTCGATTCTAAGCAAACCATCGAATAGCTTGCGAATTCCTCGAGACGGAAAAATTTGCGACACTATCTATCCATTCTTACACATCTTCTGAGTTATCCAAAGTCTCGTATGGTACACCAAACGTAATCATCTCGAACTGACCCAATCCTCTTCCAGAAATCCGCCCTCTCGAACCTCCCAATCTTCCCAGATCGCCCAATAATCCCTAGTAGCCGTACCAACCACTGGAATCACTGCAAATTATTCCGAAAAATCGTAGATTCCCGCAGCCGATCTGGATCTCCTCTAAATTACAGGTCTGCGATCGGGAATAGAGCCAATCTCGACCACCGATCCTCGCAATTTCGCGAAAATTTCGCTGAAATTGCCGCGTGCAGGGTAGCCAGGCCGGGGAATGGGGAAAAAATGGACGGCGGGAGTTAACTAGGTTACCATGAGCGTTATCGATAGTCGACCTCGTCGTTCGATCGACTTTCAAGGGATTGCCTGTCTTCGTTTCTTCTGCAAGGATACTGGTCCGACCGGATCGCGGGGAGGCTGAATGAAGAGGAGCCGGAGGCTTGAAAAACGCGGGATAAACCGGTGCAAGATAGAGGTAAGAGCCAGGGCTCTTGTCCACCGAACAATGTCCATTCACTCGAAATGGCCCGACCGGGTCCCTGTTCGAATATGTTCGCGATAAAAGCTGAATAAAACGGCGAGACACGCATCGATCCCCCTTTGCTGTTTGTTGTCCATCTTCGTGAGAGGTTATGTAATAGCCTGTTCCGGCTGCGAGCAAGTTTCACGGAAGATCGATGATTCTCGCCGTGGAAATCGAGTTAGCTCGATTTCTCGCCGATTTACGCCCTGGTACAATTTGTTTATTTATTTATTTCATTATTTACTTACTTAATAGGTAATATCGTTATTGGTACAGCTATAACTTTTCACCCTATTGCTATTTTTTTTACTTTTTCATTTTTTTATTACGTTTATATTCCAGATTTTTTCGTCTCGCTGTTCTCGTTCTCTTGTCTTATGTATGACAAGGTAAATTATTATTAAATTGTCAGTAACTTGGTCACTATTGTTATTATTAATGTAGGCCCTGTTGGAAGATAGCGGAAGAGAGGGAGAAACGAAAATAATTGATCGAAACCTCAAAATAATTGAAATTTCCAAAAAATCGATATTTTCAAAGAGTCGAGATTTCAAAAGGATGAAAGAATCACCATCGCAACGTGAAACTGCAATTATGTCTATTACCTAGCTAGCAGATAAGGCGATTGGCCGAGTACTCCAATCAGCTACCCTAATAGAATGATAACCGTCGGGATCCTCTCACCGGTAATGAAAGACGGAAAAATGGAAAGGGACGGTCGATTAATGCGTAACGAGCGGGAGACTGGAGTAGAAATCAGAGAATAAGAGATATCAAGCGACCGGTTGATGAATGGCCGCGATCGGTCCTTATAAGAAACGTTTAATCTTCCCTGCCACGGATGTTGGCCCGAGTCTCCGCGCTCTCTCGAGATTTATCGTTTCATCTCGAGACTACCGGTTTCGATTTCGTTTCCGTTTTCGAGCCTCCGGCAATGATCCACCAACCTCTTTCCTACAAAAACCTGCCAAGCTTCCGGTATAAAAATATTCCCCCATCGCAATTGCGCCTAGCAAACGTACTCCAAGAATCGAAACTCTCGAAGAACTCTTCCCTAGAACTCTAGGGAAATATGACCGGAAAAATAACCAAGAAAATTAACCTCAAAAACCAATCTACTTCGCTCCTTATTTATAAATTGAATTTTTCTTTCGTACAATTCCTTAATATTTGAAATATCATAACCTAACCCTATACATAATATAATTATAAATGTAATTATAAATAAATATAAATAATAATATAAAATACAGAAGTAAATAATATTTAAACAAAATATCGAATTTTTCGATTATGTTTCCTTGAATTTTCCTGTTCCTTGCAAATTATTTCCTACGGGCGTCGCATCCTAACCTCAAAGATTCATCGTGGCAGCGACAGTCGGATCAAAGCCGCTATTAATTTGTCTAAGCGGATGATAAATGCAGTGGAGGTGATGGTTTCGTTTTATTTATTTTCTCTCGTCGACGTGGCATCGTCCGACGACGATGATCCTTTTATTTCCCCCGCCCCTCGGCCGTTCACTCGTTTCTTTTTTTCGGCAAGGGAAAAAGGATTAATGGGCTTATAGCATGACACTGTCGTGAGATAAGATCGCGGGCCCCGTTTTACCTGTCGGCTGCTGCCGGGGGCCCGGCCGATCATATCTCGCGGAATCCAAATCGCATCGTGTATCTCGTGAGTCTCGCTGGTAAGACAGGCCTTTTATCGATTTTTGATCGCGATGCCTCCACTCTGTGCCCTGGTCTGAGCGTCAGCCATTCGAGACGCGGGGGACTCGCGGCTGAGAGATACCAATATGCATGTGTGCATTTCGTGTGTATGTGTGGTGAGTCACTCGAGTATTCCTATTTACTCTTCTTCGAATAATCCCTATTATTCTATTTATTTATTTATTTATTTATTTATTTAATTATTTATGTATTCCTGTATTTATTTATTTAGGTATTTATATATTTATTATTCTATTAGTCTTTTATTCTATTTATGTATTTATGTATTTGTGTATTTATTTATTTATTTAGGTATTTGTGTATTTATTTATCTATTTGTTTAGATGGTTTACGTGTGTGCGAGTGTATAGTGAGCCATTGGAGTATTAATATAGTAAATGTATATAGAGTATAATTACTAGAATATTGGGATATGGGGGGGTAAGAATATTATACAGGATGTCCCAAAATGCACGCAAGATTTGAATTTGGCGCCATTCGTGCGATAAACTGTTGCCAACGAAAGAAAAAAGACAGCGTGATAGCTGACAATTTAGGGTGATTAAAAATGATCGCTACGCATCTTCGTTGTCGAGCAATATTTTAAAGATAATAAAAGTTTATCAATATTCTATCAAATTCGATCAAAATTACTTCTTGCGTGCATTTTGGGACAGCTTTTATCACCATGAAAGTGTTAACAAGGGTTCAAAAAATTAATTTCAATCTCGATACCCCGAATGAAAGACGACCCACGAGAATTCGCGTAGAACCGAGTAGGATTGCAGCGAGAAGCACAGCTGGAGCTCGCGATGGACACGCTTCACGGTCTCTCCGAGCTTTTCGAGTAATTTCGCTGGACGAGAAAGGGAAAGGGTGGCGTGTAAGAAGCCCTGGAAATTGACTAGCCGAGATACGAGACGCGTCTCTCGCGAGGAAAATCGCGATTTCACGGCTCGACTCGACGAGATCCACCGGTAAAAAGCTCTGCCATCTTGCAAGTGGATATGAAACGTCCAACAGGCGACTCGGGAAAGGAAAAGTATAAAATGTAACCCAAGTTTGGGGAAAAAAGGAAAATGAATAAATCCTCGCGATAATTTATTACGGATGACACTAACAGCGATAGGTGCACGTACATGTCTACTATACTTAGTCGATCCTAACCTCACAAATAATTCAGAATTACGTATACATATTGTGATGTTCAATTAAATTTAATATAAGAAATTAGTTGCGTGTATATCGAGTAAATAAAATGAAAATAAATGAAAAATAAAGTACAGGCAGAGATGAAATAATATAAAAAATTCCTATATCGACTAGTAAATAATAAGAATAAAATAAGAAGACTCTAAACTGGCTAATAAATAATAAGAGTAAAATAAAAAGTCCCTATATTGGCTTATAAATAATAAAAGTGAAATAAAAAGTCCCTATATTGGCTTATAAATAGTAGAAGTATAATGAAAAGTCCCTATACCGGCTAATAAATAATAAAAGTGAAATAAAAAGTCCCTGTATCGACTAGTAAATAATGAAAATAAAATAAAAAGTTCCTATACTGGCTCATAAACAATAAAAGTAAAATAAAAAGCCCCTATATTGGCTCATAAAGAATAGAAGTGCAATAAAAAGTCCCTAGGCTGGCTACGCTAAATAATAAAAGTGAAATGAAAAGTCCCTATATTGGATAATAAATAATAAAAATAAAATAAGAAGAGGCTATACTGGCTTGTAAATAACAAGAATAAAATAAGAAAATTTTTGGAAAGAAAATGGGTAAAAGATGGATGGTCCGGCAAATGAATTCGCGAATGAAAAATTGATAGAAGGAACGGGGTAAGTATTAAAAAGAAAGAAGAACCTCCTTCGTCAGAGAGCCACCCCTGAGGAGCGAGGCAACAGCCGTGGATTCAGTTTAAGCTCGCAAACTGGAAAATACGGCTACAGGCGGCGGCTGCTTCCTCCCAGATGCATAAATTCGATAAGACCGGCGGATAGTGACGTAACTCGCTTCCTTCCGCGCCCAGGCAAGAAAACGTGCAACAGAATTCCGCCACCGGCTGCTGCATTTTTTCACCGCCCTCTGTTTTTTACCACCGCAGCCGAGGCAATAATTTCACTATGCACCGAATATCTTCCTCCCCAATTTCCCTCCATCGAATACTTTTTACCGCAATTTCCCTCCGCGACGAATATTTTACGATACACTCTTCCTGTCTGCCGAATTTCTTCACCCCACCGCCGAATGCCTTTTCCCCTAGACTCTCTAGATAACGCTTATTTTATGCTCTAATCTTCCCGCCCACCCAATCTTTACAAATTAATTTATTCGCTCCTTAAGGCGAATATTAAATTATTACGTTCTTTCTCCGCATCTTCTATTCTTCCAAATCAAATCCTGCATCCATAATTATCCAACCATAAGTCACATACAGTTCCCACCTAGATAAAACTCGCCTAATCTTTTCACGAAAAATTCTACTAAATGTACCAGCTTCTAATTGCAACACTCTTAGGAGTAGCCAAAAATCCCCATATCTAACCACACCTAGGGAATCTGCCGACCTCGATTTTCAGCCTTTGCTTCTCCGCGTCATTACTTCCGTCCCTGAGGAGGATCCCCGACCCAGGTAGAGACCTCCCGCGACGCACGAAAAAGCTAGTTTCACGCCTCTATCCGTCGAGCAGGAGTAAAAAACAGAACGCTACTCATTACCGTCTCCATCGACCATCTCGAGCTAGCCGGAGGTCCCGTGGCGACGAAAATGGAAGGAATTCCACGGCTAGGCCGGAAGTCGGCTGATTCGATGACCGGCAGAGGACTTGGAGGCAACACCTTGGAGGTGTCACTTCCATTCCTCTTTTTCCCCGTTTCTTTCGGAAAAACCGCCACGAGGAAGCGAATGGATTAATTCCCTAGACTGGATCGAGGTGGTCTAAAGGCTGATTTCCACTGGTTAAACGGGTTGTCGTGGTTGGGACAGTTGGTCCCTCGTTTCTTTCGCGGAATGGCAAAAAGCCGAAGGTGGTCTCGTTTGGGGTCGATAGGTGTGGAAAAACTCACCGGTCGCTTCGAGGGTTCCGGGCCCTGCCTGATGATCTCCAAGGGTGCCGGTATCGAGGGCCTGCCCAGGTACCAATCCTCCCTCGGGTTGTAGTTGTCCAGGAGTTTCAGCAGGCGGGGAACGTTCACGTAATTATCGTCGTCGAAGTGGCAGAACCATCTGGAACAAGGAGACATAGGTGGATTTAAAGAGACTGTCCTGGAGTCTTGGATCGGTATTGTCGGTTGGGCTAGGGAATTTTTCGGACGGCAGTTGATGGATGTTAATGTCAGTGATGACGAAAGGAACGTACTAAGTATGTTTTAAATGAGATTGGATAGATGGCGAGGTGTGGTTTGGTCGAAGGGGATTTGTCGAGGAATTCGCAATTCTTCGTTCAGGGATATTTGATGGATAATTCTTCGCGTGTGCAATTGAATCTTAAGATTACTCACGCGTAGAATTAAATCGTAGAGTTTTTACGCGTAGAATTGAATCTCGTGATTTTCTACGTGCGGAATTACGAGTGTCCTACCCTCTAGGGGTAAAATTAACATTGCACCGTTGCCTTTGCGTCGGATTGACGTTAAGAAATTCCCTAGACACATAATTGGCTTTGAAAGATTCCCGATGCATAGCATTAACGTTAACAACAATTCCCTATGCTTAGAATTGACTTTAAAAAATTCTCTACACGGCTAATCGACCTTAATAAATTCCCTATGCCTAGAAACGATTTCAAACAAATTCCCTACGCGGAGAATCGACTCGATAAGATTCCCTATACGTGGGAACGACTTTAGAAAATTCCCTACGCGCGGAATCGACTTGAAAAAAATATCCCTATACACAGAAACGACTTTGAAAAATCCCCGACACGTAAAATTCGTCGGAAAAAATTCCCCACGCATGGAATCGACTCTAGAAAATATCCCTGCACGCAGAATCGACTAATCCCAATCCCTCGCACTGGAAACCCGTACACCAGAGCACTCCGCGCTCCAGTTCCACCCGCCGCAAATACCCAATCGGAAACCAGAACGAACCGATACCAAGAAACCGACTCACTCATCAAAACTCGATCCCCCTATTCGCTAATCAGCCGTCGTTATTACGTCTGCCCGTCCACTCGACCCGATAAGGAAGAAACCTCAGCCGACAACGGGGAGACCTAACACGGGGAACGCGAATAGCCGAGGGTGGAAGGGGCCGAATGAAAAATCGAGATGCATCTTATCGTTCGCAAAGTGGCTGACATCGAAACGCAATCGCGAACAGGCGTTTCCCAGAAGCCGACCCGGCGGGAGGGTGTGCGAGGAGGGGGCACGCTGACAGGGAGCATAAACGGGCGTACAGAGGGTACGATAGGCGAAATAAAATCTCTCTAACGAACGGTTCCGCCATGCCATTAGCGCTACCGGGTGGCCACGGCCGCTCGATACGTACCTGCCGCGAGACCAGGCATCGTTAATACACCTGAATTCCAGCTTAATGGCGCAGGCTGCGCTCGGCTGAAACCACGGCCAGCCACGGTTCCTCCATACCGACACGATCCTATCTACCGCGTGAACCGCAACGATACGCCACCCTTCACGGGGTGACGCGAGACCAGCAGATCGAGGCAGCGTTTGGGACCAGTGGCGCCGAGTTTGGGACAGAGTCAGACAGGGGGTGAGTTTCGGATAGAGGTACAGGATCTGTGGCTTCGGAATTGTAATAGAAGATTGGTGGAGATGGATGAATGTCGGTGTATTGAGAAGGAATTGGGGAATCAGTTAATTTTGGGGATTTCTGGGGTTTTGGGTTTTTTCACGAAGTCCCTATATTCTAGTTTGTTGGGTAATACATGTTCCCTGTCCCTGTACAGCTGCCTGTAAATTTCCTATTTTTCTAGACTCTATAGTTTAGAATCGTGTTTCTTCGAACTCCCTATGCTTTGAGTGTTCAATTATTCAAATTCCCTAGATCCCTATTTTCTAATTTTTTCTAAACTTCCCACTCTCTAATTCTCCGTTAATTAATTAATAAATTAATTCCCCGTTAAATTCCTTATATCTCAAGAATTCGATATTCCCACTTTCCAAATTTCTCAATACTCCTAATTCCCTAGGCCACGAATTTCCACCAGACCACTACGCCATCTCTTCGAATCAATCTCCCACTTTTTCACGAGCCAAACGATTCTCGGCGCGGCCAATCGAATCCGTTAGAATCGATCATTAATATCCATCGACGCGTCGTTATGGATATTAATGGATCGAAATCTCGCGACGGAAACCGTGGATCGCGGCATAGATCCGCGTTCAACGATCGATCCATCATCCAACACCGGTGTATCGCCAAACTGCCCTGTCTAATGATCCCGATCGCTCGAGAAACTCGCTTAACGCTTTGCACTTTGCACATTTTTTTAGCTCTTTATTCGATCTTTCCACTATCGCAACATAATTTTCCAATTTTCCTCTGCTTCGAAATGAAATCCAAAAAATTCGCGAATTTATTTGCACCACAACGCGAGAATGAAAGATGAAGGAAAGATGAAGAAAAAGAAAATATTGCTCGACAATGAAGACACGTTCTTTCGTGTAGCACATTTTTAACACTAGAACTACCGATCTTTAGTGGGCACCTAACTATAACGTGCACAGATTATAGTAATTTCAGCGGTACCGATCAATACGAGTGAATATATCGATTACAGTTCTTTCTTAATACGAGTTGATACCAATTTTATTCTTAAAGCAGGTGTACGTGCTCGGTGATTGCAAAAAGGAAAATTCTGGGACCAGTCATTTTCACTGGGTTGGTAATTCTAGTGTTAAGAGGAACCGGAAAAGTGAGGTTAGGTGGCGTCGCGCGTAGCGAAAATGGCGGGAAGACAGGTTAATAACCAAACTAAGATGGAGGATAGGAACTGTCTCAAAAGTTTAGTACCATGATCCCCTTCTAATATTCATTTTATTTTAATCAGTTTTAATCAGTCACCCCGAACTGTCAGCTGTCATGCTGTACCTCTCCCTTCGCTGTCAACCACACAAATGACGCAAGATTCGAATCCTGCGTGAATTTCTGTGAGAATAGAAAATGAAATACCTATAGTCCGCCATCTTTAATCCCATCTTTATCTACCCTTAATTCTTTGCACTCGAGAGGCGCCCTTCATTCGCCATTTTATAAAATTTCAAAGATCGATCTTCATTAATATGTCAAAAGTAAGCTAATGTAACGGTGCGCGAGGTATCGAAATCGAATAATTCTACGTGTTAATTATTATATTATGCGATTTCTTGTTTACTACTTAAAGAAATATCGTCAGCTTTACAGAGCAGAAAATCTTTGGACTCCTACTCTTCTTTAACGAAAATATCGTCGAGCGCAAAGGGTTAACTCCCTCCGAGGAGCAACATATATTTTCTCAGCCGCTCGTTCGTTTATATCGTATCGTAATTGATCTTATTAATTCCCTATCGGCAGGGGGATCGGGTTAAAAGTATCGGCGATTGAAAAACGGCGCGGTGGTTCCCCGGCGATAATTTCGCGCAGGATTCGGCGACCCATTAATACGGCCGTTAAGAGCCACGGGGCGAGCGGAGAGATTCGATCTTGGCCCGGATAAAATCGAAAGAGGCTTCGCGCTTTTATTTTCTCCCCCGGCCCCGTCGCCGACTAATATATATGCAGATTACGGGTACAAGCTGCGCGCGAATTTTGCACGCGCCGTTCGTGCACTGTTTAATGCGATACGCGTTCATAACGCTTAATAAATACCACACGACAACGAGAGTCGCTAGGGGGAAGCCCCTTTCCCCGATTCTCCCCTTCCCGTCTTCTTTACCCCTTTCCTTCGATTCTTCCGCGATTTAATAATGGCAGGGTTAAACCGGAAGTGGGGTCTTGCATGAGTTTGAGTTTGAGGTTATGAGGAAATAGAGGTTATGTTGCGTTTCGAATCGGTTTTATATTTCGGAATGAATTGTGCAAATGAAAAGAATTGGTTGACTTTTTATCTCTCGAGGAAGACACGTTTTATTCATTGGTCTTATGCCTATTTTAGATTTGGGTCAGATTGCGTTGCTGATGGATGAAATTTAATAAGAATAAGAGCAATTTTTTATTTAATTACGAAGATTATCAAACACAAGTATTAGGTTGAAGTATAATTAGTTTATCACAAACACATGCTCACACACGTCTTCTCACTGTTAAAATTCAATTGCAACTGACGTATGCTAAATCACTCTCCTTTTTTTCTTTCTTCTTTCATACATTACATTAACATACACAATTCACACGACACCTCGATCATTACACGCATACTCATTTATCACAATAACCCGAATTCATTAGACATTTTCATACCATGCATAATTGCTCCACTCATTCCAATATATATATATTTAAAAATCTATGTAACCATTACCACAGATTGAACAGAGAATTGGAGGTTATGTTGAGCGTTGGTGTAAATTATAGAAACGAAAAGAATTGATCCACTTTTTGCCTCTGGGAGATGATATCGTTATAAAATTGTTCTTAGTTTTTGACCATTTTCATAAATTATACCGAAAGTAGAGTTTTAAACCTGTTTCATTTTACTCGGAATAAAATGGAAATTGTGAAAATAAAATTATGGGAAATAAGATAACCAACTGTTCCTCTGGTTCATTTTAATTACGTTTCACAAAACTCGAATATAAAATGGAGGACTACTCGACTTTCTGTAGTAGTGCTGAAGAATAGTGTTCGTTCAGAGGCGTCGAATAACGAAGTGTGCGGTTGAAACGATTAAAATGATTCGAGGAGACTACTACGTGAAGGAATTCACGCCTGTGGGTAGTTAATAGTCGAGAGATTTAGCTGAAAATTTGGGACGAGGAAACTGCGGCAGATATAAAAGGAGGTGGTTGCGAATTTAAACGAAAACTGAAAATTTTCGAAATTATTACCTTAAATTATTTAATTATTGAAGAACCAATGAAAAATTATTTTGCTACAAATATTGGGGCATAACACATTTATTAGAAACTAAAAAAATTTATTAAAGACTAAAAATAATTCCAAATTATTAACACCGCGATCATTATATCTGACTATCTAGATATAATCTAATATATATAATCTGACCACCTAGATTACCTTAAATTATTTAATTATTGAAGAACCAATGAAAAATTATTTTG